ACAGGCACAAAGGATTCTGGGAGCATCTGAGGAGAACCAGTTGCACGTGGCTGCATGTGGGTCACTGTATGATGAAACTCAAGCCCCACAGCCAAAAGACATGTAGGTCCCTGCTCTGATCTGGTTTCTTGCTGACTCACAGCTCCTACGTCTTAGCTCCCAGCTGCATTATGCTCCACCCGACACACATCCAGGAACAGCCAGGCACAAAGGATTCTGGGAGCATCTGAGGAGAACCAGTTGCACGTGGCTGCATGTGGGTCACTGTATGATGAAACTCAAGCCCCACAGCCAAAAGACATGTAGGTCCCTGCTCTGATCTGGTTTCTTGCTGACTCACAGCTCCTACGTCTTAGCTCCCAGCTGCATTATGCTCCACCCGACACACATCCAGGAACAGCCTAATTCAGAGGTGATGCAGCTGTTCCTTTGGATTCCAAATCTCTGATGTCGAGAGTGAGTACAAACAAGGGGGCTGCAGCCAATGTTCCCTCCAATATTCTCCAAGCATGCGCAAAATACACGTTGTTACATGCACGGAGGCATGAGCACATGTGCACCACATGTAGAAACACATGCTCCTGGCTGTGGGTGCTGTGGGCACTTTGCTGATTAGATGGGCGGCATCTGAATCTCTCCTGAGTGGCTGCCCAAGCGCCCAGCGTACAGGGAACACTGGCTGCAGCATCAGTGAGAGCAGAAGGGAGAGCAGCTGCCGAGCGGGTGGGTCAGAGGCTGGTAGCAGCTTAGAGCCGCGTTTCTCAAACTCTGGGTCCTGACCCCCCGGGGGCAGTTCCGGACTGAGCCATACTTGCACCCTGGGCAGCGGGGCGGGGTGCCCCTAACCACTTCAATCAGGCGACCCCCCCCATAGCTTGGCACCCTGGGGCAGCTGCCCGGCTAGCCCCCCCCTTAATCCGGCCCTGCCTGGGGTGGCACGAGCAATTTAGAGGGGGGTCGCGGTCTCACAAAGTTTGAGAACCCCTGACTTAGAGCCCTTTCTTCACAGGCTGAGAGTCCCAATCCAGGCCTGCCAGCAAGTGAGGGCTGTGATGGGGCCAACAGGCAAAGGGTTTGGTGGGACCAGGTCCATCCCAGGTGCGTGTCACAAACATCACCCACGCTCCTCGCTGGCAGCCTGGTCCACACAGACTGAGTTCTCCTCTGAGCCCTGAAGGGACCCTCCAGGGCAGGAGCCCATGGGTGGGGCACCGTGTCCTGAGCAAGCCTTCATCTGTAGGGCTCACTAGACACTCACCAGAGAGAGAAAACCTGCACTGCAGCAGAGCAGGGGCAGAGCTGGCCTGGGGAGGGGGGGGGGGCA